GCTTAGCTGGAGGAGGGCAAGCGATTGTCGCCTCACCGCACAGGCTCCATAGGAAATGAATGGAGAGCGAGTGACGTCGCCTCCCGTGTGTCGAGCCCTTAAGGGGTGTGTACAGCTGGGTGGCCAATGGGGTGGCCAAAGATTTTTCTATGGTGGCCATGGCCACCCCTGGCCACCCTGCTGTACACACCCCTTACACAGTGAAACATTTAGGGGTGTAATAATCCTCCTGAACAGTTGGTGGCAGTGTTTAACAGTTTGAAACCTCACCAAGCTCTATCACTGAAGAAGAGTAATGACAAGAAAGTGATGATTTTCTTTATTTACAGAACCTAAGCCTGTAATCTGAGGTTCCGACGCTGAAATCAGAAGACAGTTTGTAGGATTCACACCAGGATATGGGACGGAGAACCCACTAGAGCCACAGTCGGGACATTCTGAAGCCATTCTATGGGCCTGCTAACAACTAATAACGTCCATTTAATGGATGATAACATCYGAAGTGGGTGTTTTAAAAAAGGACTTAAAAACAGACTGATCAGTACTACCTGTGCATACCTGATTATTAAGAAAAAAAGCTCATCAAATGACTATAGCCCACAATTTAGATTTCTTCTGTTTGATAAATATAAAATTATTTAGGTAAACAATTATTGTTATATTTTGTAAAAAATAAAAAAAAAATAAAAAAGAATAAAAGATAAAAATTGGCAAGTGACTGATCTTTATTTCCAAAAATCATCACCAGCAACAGAAAATCTAATTTTGGTTGATCTCATGTGAAATTATAATTATTGCTAATAATCCTTTTCTCTAAATTCTAAAAATATTTGCTTTCATGCTTTTTTTATCCTAGTGTCTTAATTTTTAGTATTATCTTGACCCTCCAAACACATTAGTATTTTGTTTTGTTGTATTTCAATTGACTGCCTTTATTTGACACCAAATTTATCTCAAATGTTTTCTTTGTTTTGGAAATGACCTATTTTTAATTAGCTCAGTTTAAATAAACTCTTTAAAAACACTGCCAGTATTTCAAAACTAATAGAAAAATAAAACCTGTTTAAGAAAAGACAACAGATGATATTTTTGACTTTATGACCATGACRTACCTTGAGTCTCACCCCATCCAGTGATGTAACATTTGGTTACAGTGGGAACAATACAGTCTGTCTCTGGCAGACAGGAGTGAGGTGGAGGATGACTCCATGCTGTGGAGACCCCTGACCAGGGGCCAGCTGAAAGAACAAGTATTTTTTTCCTTCTGAGACCCAACCTTTTGTTTGCTGTGTTTTCTCCAAGGTACATGGGATTGTTCGGACCCTATAAGTTTAACAAAAAACAAACAACGTCCTCATATGAGGACACTGGATCAATTAATGTCCATCTTGTTAAAGAAAACTCGGGCCACTACTATGAAAAACTTGAGAAATTTCATGATAGCCTTTTGCCTTTTGGTGTGTGTGTGTGTGTGTGTGTGGGGGGGGTGACTATGTGTTGTTTTTTTTTTTTGTCTTTCTCTTGGATGGGCTGTTCCAAAATTTATTTTGTTTTAATGTCGTTATATGTATGTACGATGTGCCCCTGTACAATGACTGATTCTGATCTGCCTCCTAAAAATCTTTACTGAACTTCACCTTTGTTCTGCTT